TAAATCATAAATAGGACAAAAAATATTTTTACATACACAGTTTGAAAAAGCGGAAAAATAGTTCTAATATTGCACTAATGATGACTATACAAGAATAAAAAAAAATTAATTAATTTCAAAAAACAAAGAATGCGTCAAACATGATAATGTAAAACAAAGATCAATATGGTTATTAAAAAAATTATGAAATAATAAATCTTTGTTATTTGAATAATTTAATAGAGATTACATGAAATGGAATTTTGATATTTGGAAAATGTATGATCATAGAGGTAGAATTATGAATATGCTTTGAAAAAGAGAGTTGTCTTTTAAAAATTTCAGGTTAATGAAAAATGCCTATTTGAAATAAGGGTGCAAATTGGAAATTTGCACATTGCTTCCTCATCATGTGGCCAAGTTTTTTTTAAATTTAGATGTGCAAATGGGAAATTTGGTGGCATTAACATTATGGCAGGTTGTGTAATCAATTTTGGCTTCCTCATAGAGGAAGCTTTATCATATAATGTGGAAATTAAAATGTTCGGACAATGGCAAATAAAAATGGCGAAATATCGGGGCCCACCCATTCATCCGCACCAAATGACCGCTCTACGGCGACAACATCTTCTTCGCATTGCTCGTTCAATTCCATTTCCGTTCATCACGTTGTCGGCTCTCCTTCTCTTGTCGAACTTCGCCGCTTCTGGGAAGTCGAAGAACTGCCGCGCCAATCTCTTCTCTCGCCTCAGGAAAAACAGTGCGAAGAGCATTTCTGCTCGACTCACTCGCGCGATCCCAATGGACGGTACGTCGTGCGTCTTCCATTCAAGGAAACGCCTCCTCTCAATATCGGTAGCTCAAGATTTCGCGCCGAGAAGTTGTTGCATACGCTCACGCGTCGCTTTCACGACAAGCCGGAAGTCGCGAAGGAGTATCATGATTTTCTATCACAATACGAGCTTTTGGGGCACATGAGGCCAGCTCCGCTACCTCAAAATCAATCCGAACAACTCGTATACCTTCCTCACCACGGGGTAATCCGGGAGGATAGCTCTACAACGCATCTCCGCGTTGTATTCAACGCTTCGAGCGTTACTTCCAACGGCACATCGTTGAACGACCATTTACATGCCGGTCCGAAATTACAAACAGATATTACCTCCATCATATTACAATGGCGACGATATAAATACGT